CAACCTCTTTGGACAAGGCCACCCTCTATGTTCCTTTTCACTCAGCTTTACCCACACAGAAATTTTGGGGACCCATGGGGGGCCCAGCAGTTGCCAAGGTCTGCAGCCTTCTCCAAGGGGTTCCCATCTAGCTCTCAAGAGGAAGGAGGGGGTTCTCAGTCGCCAGGTGGGCATGGCACTCCAAGGCCAGGTAAGCAGGGCAATGCCCTGGGGCTCAGGGCTGGTCTGGTTCTTACCGAATTGATCCAGTCATTATAGTTGGAGACCCGTGTGAAGATGGAGGGCATGTAGTAGTAGTTGCAGCCAAGGACGGACGTGAGGCTGCCGATGCCATGCACCTCCCACCGGCCGTCAGCTGCCTGACAGTTCAGCGGCCCGCCGGAGTCTCCCTGAGGAAGGCCAGAGTTACAGAAGGGTAAAGGGAGAGGAAGGGGCTGCCCATTGGAACCATTGTTCTCAATGCATTTCTATTGTTCTGCTGCAGGTCACTGTCCTCTGAAGGCAGCCCTTGCGGTCATAGCCCAAGATGGTACCATAATTCCAACAAGAGCCAACACTTATTCTTCCTGTGTGGCCAGAGCTGAGCTAAGCATGTTCTATGCCTTATCTCATTAATCCCCACAAAATCCTAGGAGGTAAATATTCATAGTCTCCCCAGGCCACTGGAGAGAAGAAACTGGAGAGTTGAGAGGTTGGGACTTGCCCAAGGTTGCACAGGCAGTTTGTAAAGCAGCTGAGGCCACATCCCAGAGTTCAGGCTCTTCCCCACTGGCTCCGTCTTCCCGCGGGTGGGGTGGTCTGTGTGGGCAGAGTGTGTAGGGCACAGTGTGATCTGAAGGGCGTGTGGATCTCCTTCCTATTCCATCCCCACTTCACTGCTAAGTCCAACACAGAGCAATTCCTGGTGGTTAAGACACTGTCTCCAGGAAGGTTTCCATGGCAGCTACCTGGAGGGGACACACTGCGCCATGGATGAGAGTAATTCAACCCAGGGATTAGTTTCCTTTGGCTCCCTTCCAGCATAGAGGAAAGGATACGGAATGACAGTCATGAGAGACCTTGATGAGACCCAGGGAAGGACTTCCCAGCAGTGAGAGGGGTGGACGCGACAAGGAGAATCTCAAAACAAGAACAAACAAGAACCAAGAACTAAGAAGAAAAAAGGTCAGGGTTTTTTCTTTTGTTTTTTTTTTTTTTTTTGAGTTTCACTCTGTCAACCAGGCTGGAGTGCAGTGGCACCATCTCAGCTCGCTGCAACCTCTGCCTTCTGGGTTCAAGTGATTCTCCTGCCTCAGCCTCCCATTGTAGCTGTGACTACAGGTAGGTGCTACCATGCCTGGCTAATTTTTATTTTTACTAGAGACAGGGTTTCACCATGTTGGCCAGGCTGGTCTCAAACTGCTGACCTCAAGTGATCTGCCTGCCTCGGCCTCCCAAAATGCTGGGATTATAGGCGTGAGCCACCGTGCCTGGCCAAAGGTCAGGTTCTGATATATCTGGTACCATTTCCGGGTGCTTCTGCCAGGAGGTGGGAGGATGGACCTATCAAGGGATGGTTTTCCATAGCCTCTTCCCATCCCCAGCCACATTTTGTCATGGAGCGGGGCCCCTGATTATTGGCACTCACGTTGCAGGTACATATCACGCCATCACCCCCAGCGCAGATCATATTGGTCTTCACGGTGCTGCCCCAAGAGCGGGAGCTGGAGCAGGTGGCATAGTCCACAACCAGCAACTGGCCCTGCTGCAGGTCATCAGGGACAGCCCTGTTGGCTGAATGAGACCAGAGAGAAGGCATTAGGGACATAGGGACTCCTGAGAAAAAGGAAGTGGCAGACCCCTACTGGGTTTCCCGTTACTGTCTTCCATCCATTGCAACAGGGGAACAGCCACGTTTGTCTATACTGTTTCTTCACAGTTGATTGGTTAGTGTGCTGGCCACTGGTGATTGGTTCAGCCGTGAACACCTGACTCAAGCTAAGCCAATCAGCTCCCTCCCCTGGGATTTTGAGATGGGGATGGAGAGATTCCGGTTGTGGAGGAGGCAAATCTGGGAAGTCCTTGTCAAAGGCTGACATTTTCTTCTGTGTGCAGAAGAATGAAGTAGACCCACAAAGAAAGAAATTTCTTTTTTTTTTTTTTTTTTTTT